GCCAGCCAGCCTGACAGCTTCCCGAAGCCTCCGGGGCGCAGACTGTGCCTGGTGTCTCTCTCTCTCCCCGTGTCTCTCTCTCTCTCTCTCTCTTTGTCCCTCTCTCTCTCTCTCTCTCTCTCTGTGTGTGTGTGTCTCTCTCTCCCCCCCCCCGGCTGTGCCATGGCTGGCCCTGTGTCTCTCAGAGAAGGCTCTTCCCACCTCATTCCCCGCGGGCTCCTCTTCATCCCTCAGAGCCCCTCATGGCCTGGCAGCCCCCGTGAGTGTCCACGCCACACGACTCTAGATGTTTGGCTTCTAGACTGGAATCCGTCACAGACTGTGACTAGGAGGGCAGTGACCAGGCCTCGGCCTCAGCCCCCTGCCTGGCCTGCACTGGCAGGGAGCAGGGCAGGCACAGGCCGGCCTTGAAGGCGGAGGAGTGGAGGGGGAGCCCTTAGCTGGGCCTCGGGACCCTGCCCTCCATCCCCCAGGGTGGGGCTCCGGCCCTCGGGTGCCCACAGCCCCTCTCCCACCCTCCGTGCCCAGCTGTTCCCATCAAGAGAAAGGGGAAGTATCTTTGGGGATTCTCGGACAGTCCCCTGGAGGCGGTCCTGCTGGGAGGTTGGGGTGTGGGGCTGATCCTGTGGGGCTCCATGGAGACCCAGGTCAGGCTGGGTGGAGGGCCTCACAGAGGGCAGTGGGGTGATGGGTGCTGGACTCGGGGGCCTGGGGCTCCTGCGCTGTTGCAGAGTGGTGTGGGGAGGCCCAGCCTGGGGGTGAGGGTTTGTGTTTTGTGTTTGTAACATCGAGCAGCCTCTGCCTCAGTTTCCCCCTCTGCCCCAGGGACTGGTGTGCACAGAATGCCATCTAAATCCCCTGCCTGGCCCCTGGCCCTGAGTGCCTGGGGAAGAGGCTTCCAGTGGGATCCCTGGGTCTCTGGGCTCAGTCCCTGGCTTTGGCAGGAGGAGGAAGGGCCCTTTGTCCCTGGGCCCAGGTCACAGTGGTGTTCGGAGGAGAGGCCTGGGCCACCAGGGTGTGTTGGGTCTGGGGAGTTCCCGAGACAGCAGGCCTGGGGCTGGGGGCTTGCCTGCCTCCCTCTCCCTGCTGGTTCTGAGTGGCCTGGGAGGTGTGATACCCTGCGGGCAACCTTGGCGGTGGGAATGGCTGGGGGCTGGGGAGGGCCCCGCCTCTGGCCTCCCTGGGCTCCCTCTTTTCCTCCCTGATGACCCTGGTGCCCTGGACGGGGCCTGGCAGTGCTGGTGCCGGGAGAGCCCGCGCTGAATGAATGAAGGAGTACTGCACTTAGTCGGGGTGCTGAGTGCTGGGTCCAGAGCCCAGGACTTTTCCTCCTGTTGCCCCGAAGGCAACACCCTGGACCCCTGGAGTCTGCCTTCCAGGGGAGGGGGCAGACCACAGAGAAGTAAGTGTGTGGGCTGAGGGCCAAGTCGGGCGGACGCAGAGCAGGGAGCGGGGACAGGCCCCACTCAGCAATCAGAGGAGGCCTCATGAAAGAGGTGTCATGTTTAGGTGGTTGGTGAGGTTGGAGCCCTGAGGTATGGGTTAGTGCCCTTACAAGAGAGGTGCTAGAGGGCTCCCTCCCCTGACCACTGTCAAGACACGGGAGATGGAGCCACCTGGGCCAGGAAGGGACCCTCATCAGACCCCAAATCTGCAGCACCTTAATCTCGGACCTCCAGCCTCTAGAAACGTGAGAAATCAATTTCTGGTTTTTTTTTTTTGAGATCGAGTCTTGCTCTGTCGCCCAGGTTAGAATGCAGTGGCACAATCTCAGCTCACTGGAACCTCTGCCTCCTGGGCTCAAGTGATTCTCCTTCCTCAGCCTCCCGAAGCAGCTGGGATTCAGGCACCTGCCACCACGCCTGGCTAGTTTTTGTATTTTTAGTAGAGATGGGGTTTCACCATGTTGGCCAGGCAGATCTCGAGCTCCTGACCTCAAATGATCCACCCGCCTCAGCCTCCCAAAAGGCTGAGATTACAGGAGTGAGCCACTGCGCCCAGCCAAATCTCTGTTCTTTTTAAGCCACTCAGTCTATGGCAGTTCTTCTTTTATAGCAGCCGGAATAGACCACGACACCCTCCTGCCTGCAACAGCTACAAGTGGACAAGCTTAATAAAACAGCTGTGTCCAGACACCAGGCACCGAGCAGCCGGGACAGCGGCACCGGTGAAGTCCCTCCCTGTGCCCGGCGTGGCCGGCTGCCCCCGCTGCTCTCCCCTCCCCTCTGCCACCCTGTCTTCTCTGCCTAGTCTGTTTCTCTCCTTTCTCCACCTCCCCATAGACGGGCTTGGAAAAGTCAGACAGACCTCTGAGGTCTCATCCCAGGGCTGCCGCCAGCCCAGCCTCCCTGGGACCTGCCTTCACTGCCCGGAGCCCTGGGAGCTGGGGACGCTCCTCCACCCCGGGGCTGAGTGAGCTTGGGCGCTGCCCCTGCTGCTCCCACGTCCTCGGCCCCACTCCCGCAGGTGCAGCAGCTGACTGGAGACCGAGGCCGGACCTGGGACCAGCAGCTCCCCCGGGGCCTGGCCTCTCCCAGGAGCCTCATCATCTTCATCATCATTTTCTCACACCTGGCCTAATCGTGTGCATGAAAAGAAGAAAGCAAAGGGGTGAGCACATGGCGGCCCCATCAGGGCTTGTGTCCCCAGCCGTTGCCTCTCAGAGCTCTGTCCCCACAAACCTGGGAGGTGGTTCCAGGGTTTTTCCAGCATCTGAGGCTCCTCCCAGAGCGGCCACCGCAGCCTGGGGAAGAAGGCTTCCTGCTGTGCGTGGAGCCCAGATGTCAGGTGGCCACTCTGTGGGAAGGGAAGGTGGGGCCCCTGACCAGGGAGCCCTCTGCCACCTCTGCCCACCGCCTGTCCCTGGGGGCTGTGGGGTGAAGGGCAGGCTGAGCTGGGCTGGGGCCTGGCCTCCCATCCGGCACTGGGGGGCAGCAGGGTCCATGGGGTCAGCCTCTGAAGAGCTGCCTGGAAATCCAGACGATAGTCAGGGAGCCGGTCCGTGCACAGGAAGGCCCGGGGTCCCTGAAGAGCACTCTTCAGGTCGGGGAGAGGGCTAGGTGGGGCGGGGCAGCTGGAAGAGCCACTCTCTAGGGGCCCAGGCCGGGGTGGGTCTCTCCACACCCCAAGACGCTGGGCCAGGGCTTCCCCCGGAAATAGGGGCCAGGACAAAGGGTGACAGGGGAGGAGATGGGGTGGGCGGCTCAGATGGGGGTCTCCGCTGGAGGCAGGAGGTGAGCAGGATAGGAGGGGTTGTAGGTCCAGCCCCACAGGGTTCTGTGAGCCCCTCCCTGCTGGAGAAGCTGGAGAAATAAAAGATACAAGACACGGAGATAGAGAAAAGAAAGTTTGGGCCCAGGGAGGCCTGCAGGGACCCCGAGTGTCCGCACGCTCTTTTATTGAGTACAAAGCTGGGGGCAGGGAGAAGTACATCACCTGTCAAACACGTAGGGGCGCAGGAATTTCCACAGCTGAGATGAGGTAAGGGGTATAAGGCATTAGCACTTTTCCATGCTTGTCACAAAGACATTAAGATTTATGTCACTTTTACTGATTAATTCTTACAAGAAAAAAGGAACCAGGTGCAGAAGCAGAACATGAGAGTGGACATGGAACGTGACTGCTGAAGCGCAGCGTCCCATAGAGACATTTAAACCCCCGATGTCTGCGGGCCGACCTGACAGCGTCAGGTCCACCGCAAGAGCTTGGAGAAGCGGAGTTTTCTCCTAACTTCCCCAGGAAGAAGTCTGGGCCACCTTGGACGTCTCCTTCCCTGGCTGGCTAAACAGCGGGCGCTTTCCCGGCGCTGGCGCTGCCGCACAGCCGAGGCGCCCTCCAGCAGCCCTGGCGTGGGCTTAGAGCATCTCGCCTTAGGGTCATTCATTTCACAGTGTCACCCCAGGTTCACACTTCCGACCTGAGAGGCATTAGTAAAATAATTAAGATCTGGGTCTGTTGGTGGGGAGTAGGGGAGGGACAGCAGGGGGTAGGGAGGTTGGGGAGGGATAACATGGGGAGAAATGCCAGATGCAAGTGACGGGGGAGGTGAAGGCAGCAAACCACATTGCCATGTGTGTTCCTATGCAACAATCCTGCATGATCTGCACATGTTCCCTGGAATGTGTATATATAGGCAATAATACATATATATGCAATTATATATGTGTATATATCTTTTACATTAAAAGAGGCTTAAGGAACATAGCAACTTGGAAAAAAAAAGAATTAAGATCACCTGTGAGTAACTAAGATCACCTGTGAATGACTAATAACGACTACGGTTATATTTCTAGTCATTTTCTTCTTCACTATTTGTGTGGAAATAGGCGGAGGCCTTTGGTTCCTGCCTTGGCACTTAGGGGTCTTCTCCCTACAGGGGAAGGACGGGTGGAGAGGGCACGCTGTGGGCTCCTCCATCCTCACGGCATGGCGGTCGGGTCGTTCCCCTCCCAGCTTCTGCCTCCAGATGTGGGGAAAAGGGCCTCGTCCCAGGCACAAAACGAATGTGTGGCTCAGAGGCCTGGGCACACCCCTACCAGCAGGGCCTGGGCCTGTTGGGTGGCCAGTGAAGGTGAGCGGCAGGTCGGCTGGGCACAGCGGGTGTCGCTGATGCTGGGATATCTCAGTGGACACAGTCGGGAAGTGTAGGTCAGATGTAGATCCAGGTTTTTTTTTGGGCAAATCTGAGACCACTTGAGCATGAAGATCCACAGCAGTAGCCTCGGACGGAGCCACAGAGGTCAGGAGGACCCGCTGAGCGCTGGGCTGTTGGGTGCGAAGGGGCGGGTGGGGCTCCTCTCTGGGTGGAGCGACGGTGGAGGGAACGCCCAAGCGTGGCGGCGGAGGGCAGGGTGGCTGCATGCCCAGCAGCTGTCCGGGACCTCCTCTTTCAGCAAGAAATACCGGCAGGTGAAAGTTTGAGGAGAAACAAGATATTTCATCCTCCCACAGCCACAGGACCTCCCCAAATACAGTTTCACACAAATAGCAGGAGCCGAACCCAAGCTTAGAAAATCGCTTCGACTGTGATAGCCACTTAATGCCACGCACGTGGCCAACCAGTTGAGCCTTGGTTGTGAGGCAGTGCCAGGGCCTGTCCTGCTAAGGGTTCACACCGGCGGGCAGCTGGGGTCTGGAGCACCCTCTGGGCCGGCCAGGAGGGCTGGGCATGTGGGCCGAGAACAAGGACTGTTCCTCAGGGCTCCGGGGAGCTCAGGCAGCAGCAGAATGGAGGGTCCAGGCGCTCACTGGGTCATGGGGAGGGCACGTGGCACCCCCACCCCAGCAGGGGCCCACCTCTCCCTCCGCGGAGGAGGCGGGAATCAGCCAGGCAGAGCCCCGAGCTCCTCTGGTGCCTGCAGTCCTGCCGGGCACGGCCTCTCAGCAGCTGCCGCTCCAGGTCTCTCTGGCATCAGGCGTGCAGTCTTTTGGTCAGTGGTTTGGGCTCTCCCCCGTGGATGTGGGTGTTGTCTCCTCCTCGGCCACCGTGGTGACGTGTGGAGGAGTCTGCAGGGCCTCGGCGACTGACCGTTCCTCACCTGCCTCCTGTCCAGGGACACGACAGGTCCTCGGGCTCGTCTTACTGCTTTCAGTTTGAGGAGGTGTGTTCCCTCCTGAGCTAGTGTGGCTATAATCGAGGGACTCAGGAGCCTCAGAGAACTGGAACCCCCCACCCTGCACACCAAAAACACCAGCCCAGCGGGGAGCGGAGAAGGGGAGGGCAGAGGAGAATCAATACCTGGAGGGAGGCATTCAGCCGGAAGTTGCCTGCAATGAACAGACACACAGGTCAGGTGGGGCAGTGTCTGATCAGGGCACACAGGCTCTCGGCAATGGGGGTCTCATGGTGATGGAGGGGACAGGCTCTCGGTGGTGGCAGAGGCACCAACTCCTGCCTCTCCCTGGGAGACCTTCCCTAAGGGACTGGCCCTATCTGAGAGCAGAGACCAGCTGTGTTTGGACTGCCAGCCCAGCCCGTCCAGGAGGCCCAGCACGGAGAGAGGACTGGGGGCGCCCGGCCCACCTCCGCAGCTGCCGCCCCAAGTGTGTAACTAACCCCGATTCAACCATCGTCTACGGGAGAGGGACAAGCACTTGACAGCAGAGAGGCCCTGCCCCCCATCCCAGCAGGTGCCCAGCTGGGTGAGACTGAGCTGCTGCCCAGCCTGCCCCAGAGCCTGAGGCCCCGAGACCTCCGTGCATCGGGGGCCACGGGGGAGGATCAGGTAGCTCTGCTGGAGGATGGGGCTGGCCTCCCCTTTGGACCTCAGTGTTAGAAGCTGTGTCCTTGGGGGCTGTGCACAGGGCTCCCAGGGCCACAGCTGGGTCCATACAGCTGGGTCAGTTCCCAGGAGGCCAGGCACAGCACAGGTGCCCACAGTACCGTGGATAAGTGGAGGAATGAATGAATGAACGAATGGCCTTACTCTCCTCAATGAGGACACGGCCTTGTCTGTTGATCCTCAGCCCACAGCCTGTCCCAGCCAAGCTCAGCCTGCCCTTCTTCCTGCAGCCCTGGGAGCAGGCAGGGGCACAGGACCCTGGAGTGTGTGGACAGGGGCGGCAGTGGGCTCCCTGGTCAGGGGCGGCCTTCCCTTCCCCTGGGGCGGCCACCTGCCACCCGGACCCCGGGCACAGCAGGAAGCCCACCTGCCACCCGGACCCCGGGCACAGCAGGAAGCCCACCTGCCCCGGCCGATAGCAGCAGCCCTGGGAGGAGCCTCAGATCCTGGAAAAGCTCTGGGGCCACCTCCCAGGTTTGGGGGACAGAGCTCCGAGAGGGGACGGCTGGGGCCACGAGCCCTGATGTGGCCACTGTGTGCTCACCCCTTCGCTTCCTTCTTCTTTTCCTCCATATGATTAGGCCCAGTGTGAGGACAACGATGACGATGAGGATGAGGATGACAGTGGCAAGCCACGCCCCGGGGGAGCTGCTGGTCCCAGGTCCCGCCTCGGTCTCCAGCCAGCTGCTGCACCTGCGGGAGTGGGGCCGAGGACGTGGGAGTGGCAGGTGTGGCGCCCAAGCTCACTCAGCCCCGGGGAGGTCCCGGCTCACAGGGCTCTGGGCGGTGAAGGCAGGTCCCAGGGAGGCTGGGCTCAGGGAGGCTGGGCTGGCGGCAGCTCCGGGATGAGACCTCAGAGGTCTGTCTGACTTTTCCAAGCCCGGCTATGGGGAGGTGGAGAGAAGAAAGGAAAAGGGGAGAAACAAGGAGAGTCTGGGCAAAGAGGACAGGATGGCAGAGGGACAGGGGAGAGAAGCAGGAGGCAGCCGGCATGCAGGGACTGCAGAGCGGGGCGCCAGTGGCGGAGAAGGACAGGGTGGAGGGAGAGCCGGTGTCAGGATGGAAACTCGCAGCCAGAGCCAGAGACAGACAGGACTGAGCTGGGGCCAGAGGACGAGGAGGGCAGAGCAGGGTGGAAGGCCCCTCTGCCCCCCTCCCTGGGGCAGCCACCCCTGCCCCATCCCAAGCTCCACTGGGGGACCCTAACTCTTCTCAAGAAGCTCTGAAGTCTCAGGTCAGCTGGGCCCAGGGTCAGCATTTGAGGTGTCCCCACACAGGTAGACAAAGAGCAGGGAGCTCACTTTGAGAACTCACAGCCTCTCCCGCCCCCTGAAGCCCAGGCAGCCCTCCATGGCCCTGACATGCAGGGACGCCCACCACCCCAGGGGACAGGGTCTCTGGAGGCAGCCTCCCTCTGGCCCATCCTGAGTCTCCAGGAAGCCCGGATCTGATGAGGCTTTGTCTGGGGCACACAGGCGTCAGCTCTGCGGCTCTCCTGGACGCAGGCCTGTGACCAGGTGCTGCCCAGGGCGGGACCTTCAGACCTTTCCGCTGGAGAAGACAGTCAACTCCCAGGGAAGCAACGTGGAGCCCCCACCCCAGGGCACAGCACTGGGTTTCCCCTGAGGTCACTTACTTGGTCCGGTGCTGACATCCCTCCAGGGTCCCATTGGGAGAGAAGGTCCCTGGGGGGCAGTTCTGACACAGGGTGTCCTGACCCTTGGTGCCTGAGAAAAGAAAGGGATGGGCAGAGGGGGCTGGGGGCACCAGGCTGGGAGGGGCTGGGGGCACCAGGCTGGGAGGGGACTGAACGCACCAGGCTGGGAGGGG